CCTTTGCCCAGAGAGGTGGAGTTGGCCATCGTGGCGGAAGACTACGGTAAACCACCGGCGTCCTCCGTCTGCTCGGTCGTCGTGCGATTGAGCAGCCTGAAGAGTACGTTGCCCGGTAAAGAGTACAAGATTACGGTGAAAGAAAACGCGTCGAAGGGAACCACCTTGATGAGGCTGTCCGACGTGGACCTGTTGGACGGGGCTATCGTGGCCGGCGACGACAGTGGCACATTCGAGGTGTCCCGAGGCAAATTGATGCTCTCGAAAACGCTCGACAGAGAAACGAAGGACAGGTAAGAGAGATTCGGTTCGTCGATACGCGCAGAATAATTCGAAACGTTTCCACGTTTTAACCGTAACGATTTTTACAGGTACGTCTTACGGTTGGGTTCCAAGAACGAGAACATGACGACCGGATCGTTGGTAGGAGACGAACCTATTACGGTTATCGTCACGGTGGAAGACGTAAACGACAATTACCCGCGTTTCCTGGAAGAGCTCCATCAGGTATTCATCAAGGAAAACGCGGCACGTGGAACGACCGTGGCGACTCTGCGAGCCAAGGACGACGACCTAGCCGGTAGCGAGGCGGCGAATTTAGTTTACGAGATTACTTCCGGAAACGACGGAGGTCTCTTCCGCGTAGAAAAAAGTACCGGCGCGGTGCTAGTGAACGCCACGTTGGACTGTGACCTGGAACCGGACGTGCACAATCTGGTGGTGATGGCGTGCGACAGCGATCCAATTTCTCCTCTGTGCGCCCTGGCGAGGCTACGAATCCATCTGGAAGACGTCAACGACAACTCGCCCAAGTTCCCGGTCTCCGAATATCTGGAATTCGTCGGAGAGAACGAACCGATCGGAACGACCGTTTTCTCCGCTCGAGCCTCGGATCTGGATCGCGGTATATTCGGATCCTTGAATTATTCCATCGTGTCCGCCGCGGCTACGGGCTTCTCCGACATCGACGACAGTTGGAAGCTGTTCGCGGTCGACGGGAAATCCGGCACGGTAACCACGCGGGCGATTTTCGACTACGAATTGCGAAACAGATACGCGTTCACCCTGAGAGCCACCGACACGGGTGGCCGAACAGCTGCTGTCAGAGTCAGGGGGGAAATCGAATCGAGAGACGAGTTTTATCCGCAATTCACGGAGAGGATGTACAGATTCGGAATCAAAAGCGGAACTCAGGTGTTGCCTGGCACGGTGATCGGCCACGTGACGGCGACGGATCGCGACAAAGGTCCCGACGGCCGGGTAGTTTATCAGTTGACGTCGCAACACCCTTACTTCAAACTGAATCGCACTACCGGTGCGTTGATCGTCAAACAGAAATTGGTGCACATCGACATGGACGTCGAAGAGTCCTCGAGGCTGGTGGTGAGTGCCAGCTCCGGTAGACAGGGATCTTTGTCGAACATGACGGTGGTAGAGATTACCCTGACGGACGACAGCGACACGAACGAAGCCAGAGGAGCTACCGCGTTGGCCAACCCGACGGACGTTGGCTCCAACATGGCTGTCGCCGCGAACGGCGGTCTAGCCGACTGGGCCTTGGGTCTGTTGATCGCTCTGCTTCTTCTGGTGATCGCATTCGGTGCTATTTTCTTGTATCTTCATCTTCGAAATCGTCGACACAAGAAACCCGGAACGAAACCCGGTCTGAACGGCGAGAGCAACGCTACCGCGTCCAACAGCTACGTTGATCCGAGCGCTTTCGACACAATTCCGATCAGAAGCGTGGCGGGTGT